AAAAAGCATCTGCAGGTATGTTTAATTTACATTCTTCAAGTTGTTTTGTTGTTGCTGGTGGCCCTGTGTGGGCGCTCTTCTGTTAACTGAGACATATGAGGTGGGGGGGTGCTGATCAGAAATCTGATGTTGCAGAAAACACAGTGGGCATCATTCATGACACCCTCCAGTCATTCTTAGCCACATTTCCTTCTTTATACCTTGCTAGTGCCTATTATCTTGCCTCCAAGGGAAATCATCAGGAGCTACTGAACACTTTGTGATGGACTAAGTGGGCTCACCATATTGAGTGCAAAGTCCTCCCTCTCTGCACAATATCTGTGTGATGGATTTGTCAATAGTATGAGAACAGGGTGTGCTGTGATCTTACGTCCACTGAAGTCTTTACCTGAGATGCACCTGAAAGAAGATGTTGGACTTCTCCTGTGTGCATTAGTCTGTTAAGGGTGTCTTTTTGGAAATTGTTGACTTAGCTTGTACGAGCGTAAATGAAAGATGGCCTTCCGTCACTGTATATTCATCTTTGTCACAGCCTATCCGAGAGCTCTCCCTATGGATCTGCCCAAGAAGCAATTAGTATTTCTTTGTAAATGATTTAACAGGATTGAAAGACTTTTCCACTACCAACAGCTAAACTGACCTTGACATAATATAAAGTAGGTAATTAAGATGAATTATTTCAATGAAAATAATTAAGCTGGAGACCTTTGCACATCAGAAATGAGGTTCATTTTATCCCTTTAATGGCCGACACCACAGATGGAGCACGTGGAAGACAGTGATGTCATACTCTCCCTCCATGTCTACTTTCTCGACAGTGCAGAGTTAAGTTATCAGCTGAGGACAGAAAGCTTGGTAGTACTATGTTGGTGCACTGCACAGACACACATACCAGCTAATTAGCGTTAAGTGATAAATTACTAATGTTTCACTTACCAGTAATGGAAACCACACTTCTTGGAAAGGCTGTTTTTGCAGTTAACTGCAAGATAGCCATCTTATTTATTTATATGAAAGTATGAAAACCTAAAGCTTCAAAAGGCACCAAACATGAATGAGAGATCTAATTCAATGATTTCAATAAGAGAGGTGGGATAGACTCCTGGGAAAGCATTTTGCAAAGGGCCCACTCAAATATTTTTCAGTCTACCTGTCATTTAAGGCTGTTTTCAAATTTTTACACACCCAGTTTTATCTCTAATTGGCACAACCACATGTCCATGGATACTGTAAAGAAACTGGGGCTGTTATGGAGGGCTGCAACAATAACTTTAACTCACTTCTCCCCGATATTAATCTTCTGCACATACTGTATATATTTTATTCTGTACGTATAATATTTGGTTATTGTTTTTGCTGTCATTATCCTATTTTACAACAGAAAAGTGTGCACTCTTCATCAAGTGATACTGATAAAATTAGATGTTGCAGACAGGACAACTACCAACAATTATTGCTATAGAAACAGCATTCACATTTTGGCCCATTTTGGCCTAAGCCTATCCAGGCATGCTGTTACCTCTGTGACTCCCCCCCCTTTCATTGAGTGGCAATTACCACTGTTGTCTCACAGTAAAACGGTCCAAATCCACGGTTCGATTCCACCATCACTCAAGGGTACTGTGGGAGTAAGTTGCTGCCTTTGCAGCTTTGTTAGCAAAGGTTTGCAGGTCCTTTCCCTGTTTAGTTATGTAATGGCAATTCAACCTGTAGACCCACAAAACGGTCTATATTCATCTTTCAAAAACACAGCACACATCTCTCATAAACATCAGCACCAAAACATTTACAATGAAAACGCATCTGCTTGCACACATGTACATATGTAAGTTTTAAAAAATAGCAGTTGCCTTCAAAACAAAAGAAAAATTATGTTTTCCTACAAAATGTGATTTTGCATACAAAGCAGATGGTCATTATCTCATTTGAAGTGTTTGGTGGATGAAATGGGGCCATACAATGCCCAGCTGAAGCTACGCTCGTGATGGCAAATCTCTACTGCAGCTTCAAACTAGCAAGCTAGCTAACAGAGAATAGCACAGCAAGCAAAGATGATGCAAAAGGAGGACAATCAAACAGAATAGAAAGGCTGTATATGTCTTGAAGTGTAATCAATCCATGGATCTCTTTGCCATGAGACAACTTTATAACCATTTATATTTTTCTTTTGCAAAGAAGATAATTTGAGGTGTCAGTTTGATGTTTGGGTCCACATACCAGAAAAGATAAATGGGTAGCTGCTGCTAAAAAGAGACGTGGCTACAGCAGATAATGTTTTCTCAGCCAAATCTTAAAAGCACTGAGATACAGTGTATTTGTACATTTTTATGTGCAGGCAGCTCCATGGCAGAAGATTAGTCTGCGTTGTAGAGACAAAACTGAATGACTGGGTTCGATAGCTACTGAGTTGTTATGTTAAGACTTGTAGGACTTATGGAACTATATGCAATTACTTTGGTTTTACATAAGCATGTATTTAATTTTACTAAATATTCCATATTGTCAGTATTTATACTGGTTTTTGGGCTCTTGCTATTATCTTCATTTTACAGTGTGGTCCTCAGTGAAACTAACTTTAAAAGCTGGTCCTTAACCAGCTGCAGTGATGTGATCATTCATAGAAGGCTTTAAGGTTTTCTTCACACTGAGTTTGAATGAGCTAAATCATAAAATCATACAGATTTAGGAAAATTATTCCCAGACGCAAGAACCACAAAACTGATGCAACACAACAGCTACTAACAGTTAATGCAATCCTCTTGCTAAAGGCCCATAGCTACCAAGAAAGCTGTCAGTGATTGATTCATCTCTTAAAACGAAATGTATTTGGCTCACTTTAGCATACATCCAATAAGTCAATACTTTTCTCAAGCTCTCTTTTATACTCCTTTTTTTTTTTTTTTTTATTAATCTTCTTTGTCATTTTTTATTCCAGAGAGAGGTAGTCAAGCTGAATTAGTCTGGTGTTTCATGTATTTAAAGGTGAAAGTCAATACATCCAAGGACTTTGTCTGCTAGATTAAAAAATAAAAAAAGATCAATGTAACTAGCATAATGAGTATTTGAGTGTTAAAAAAGGAGAGAATTAAAGAAGATAATATCCTGCAGGTTACCCTCACGTCCAGTAGAGGGTAGTAGTATATCATAACTAACTACTGTAGTCGGCTTGTGCTTCTCTTTTCCTCTCTGCCTGTCAGTCTTTTTGTTTTGCAGCTCCTCTGCTTTGTCCAACAGCTGAGCAACCTGTTGACAGAAGTTTTCAGCTTTGGGTTTCTGATCTTGCAATAGCTGCTGCGTGCATCTGTAATTTATTTATTGTTTTTTTCCGGTTGACATTGAAACACGGGTTCAGTTTATATATATTGACAGCTTCTAGTTCTTTTGAATGTCCCCCTTTGAAAATATCTGGACCTAAACTCTGCATGACAGGTCTGGCCACCAGTAGGTTAGAAGAAGCTTTTAGCATCAGAAGCCTTCGCATGCTGTGTGTGCTCAATTTCAAATGAAAGTTTAATGATCCATGCGGAGAAACGGGAGTGGGGTTGGTCGGTTGGTTTTCAGCAACGTTTAGGTGGGTGGTTTGTGTCAGAGTTAGATCTACATTAACACCAAGGATTTCTAATCATTCACTCATCAGTGGTTTTATAATACAAATCCCAAAATGCCATATTTGTGTATGCAGACCTTATATATGTACATGTGTTTTTATATAGGTTCCATTTGTGCACATGCCTTTGTGTATGTGTGTGTCACAGGGTTTGGGATAGATGGAGCCCTGTCACCGTGTCACCATGGAGATAAGAGAAGCCTGACAGCACAGGAGAGAGCATGACAGCTTTTATATCAATCACACTGACTTATAACTGCGTGTGTGTATGTGTTACGAGTGTCTGTACGCTAAGGGGTAAGGAAGGGGTATTAAGGGAATCAGAAATAAATCAATGTCATGTGGTTTATATGTCAGCAGCTGTTGTCAGTTTGGCCTCACCTCTCGCTGTAATCTCTAAACTCCAGTGGCTACATGTAAACTCTCTCTCTCTCACACACACACACACACTGCTCTGACACACAAACAAACAGATGCCAGTGTGTGTCACCCATCTCTAAGTGCCTGGATGACGCCCAAAAGGAGAGGGTTGGCCAAATGCTGTCCTGGCACCGAAAAAATCTACATCTTTCAGCTTGTCGCAGATCTAATCTCTCTCTGTCTAATTTATTCACTGATCCTCTCCAGCTCCTTCTACTCTCAATTTCTATTCCTCCTCTCAAACTTCTCTTCATCTTTTTTCCCCTCGTTGCTTCTACAATATCATCTCACCATATTTTCCAGCATCTCTTTCTTTCTTTCTCTCTCTCTTTGTGTTTACACATCTCCAAACATCGTCCAAACCCGGAGCCTCAGTGAGTCTGTAAGCTGATGCAGCGTATCTGTGAGGAATTGGGAATTCAATTGGAGAAAATCAG